CGGTACGCGGGCCTCTCACTGTTGTGGCCTCTCCTGCTGCGGAGCACAGGCTCCGGACGCGGTCCCACGGGCCCAGCTGCTCCGCGGCATGTGGGACCCTCCCGGACCGGGGCATGAACCCGTGTCCCCCGCATCGGCAGGTGGACTCCCAACCACCGCGCCACCAGGGAAGCCCCCCAGGAACCTTCTTTTTAAATGCCTTTCCCTGAGTCCACAGATTCATAAGCCTGATTCTCAACCCCTTCTCTTCTTGCTCTGCCACTGCCATCCCAAGCCACTCCTATGGCTTCATTGACTTCTCCCAACTTCTACATCCCACCCCCAGCCCCGGGGTTCTGGCCTTTTCTCTGGGGTTTAGGCCCCAAATTCCCACTGACTGATGAAGATCTTTAGGCCGAGTGTCCGGTAGGCAACTCCAGATCAAAGCATCCCAAACCAAACTCATTCTCTCTCCTCATTCCTTAATCTGTTTTGTTCTTCCTCCATGGTTCCAGCAACCCTGCTGGAACACGTCACCTGCTTCCTCCTGAAAATCTAGGGGATACATCCTCTAGTACAGCTTCATTCACGGTCCTACTGACCTCCTACTCTCTTCTTCCATGTCCCCCAGCTAGAGGCCACTGGACTGCTTACGTGGACATTCTCAACACTGTCCTTCCTCTGCCTAAACACCATTCCCTCAGGTAACAATGTTCTTCCCTGCCATTCTCTGCTCTCAGAATTCATCCTTCGAAGTCCACTCAATGGTCCCTCCCTTATGAAGCCACCCTGATCTCTCCTCTGGCCTTTCAAGCCATCTGCCTCTACCTAGTGGCAGCAGGCCTCGGGCGTGGCTTTCCCTAGTGCAGCACTTCTTACCGCGTCCATGCTGTCCTCATGCTAATACTAAGACATTTATCTGCCTTCTTCACATGCATTCCCTCATGAGCCTAAGTGGAGCCTTCCAGGAGCAACATGGCAAGTGAAATAACAATAGACTGAATGTAGAAACAGAGACGAGAACTGAAATATCTTCTATTAAGCCAGAAATTAAAGAGATTTGCTAAATGTAAAACAATACCGCTTTTCTCACTAAATTTTTTTTGTTTTGAGAAATAGTTATTTTCATAAAATGTTATGTTAACAAGTAATATGTTTATTACGTTATTTTTTTAATGAATTAATAAATGTTTTAGGTTTTAATTTCTAATATATCAATATTGGTAGACATAATTCACTTGAAAAACACCTCCCTTGGGGTACTCAATAATTTTAAGAGTGTAAAGGGGTCCCTAAGACCAAAAAGTTTGAGCACAACTACCTTAGCGGATCCCCAGCTAGACTATGTCTTGTTTGTCTTTGTCTCCCCTTCACCTTCTAGTAAGATGCTTTATGCAGAGCAAGTGTGAACGCTCTGTAAGTACCTGCTGAAATATTCTTTTCCTTCTATTAAGTCAACTGTTTGAAAAATTTTTTCAGTAATCTATTGGTGGCTTATCAATTTCTTGAACAAAATCTAAATTTCTTTTCATCAGGTCATGTCAGGCCTCTGTTCAGAAGCTTTCCAAAGTTTCCCATGTCATGCAGAGTAAAGTCCAAAGTTCTTTCCATAGGCTGCAAAGTTTGTCAGAATGTGGCTCCTGCTACTTTTGACCCTAAAAACTCTCCCCGTCACTCAGGCTGCAGCCCCAGTGGCCACGACACATGTGCTTTTCCCCCTAGAGACTTACATGGCTCACTCACTCTCTTCCTCTCAGTCTCTGTTCAAATGCTACCTATTCAAAGGCTCTTCCATGTCCTCCATGTCAAACCAGCAGCCCTACACACACACAGCCTGCATCACCACTGCTTTATTTTCTTCACTGCACCCATCAGATATTATATATCTGCTTGTTACTGTCTGTCCCCTTAGGGGTTTGCACAGTGCCTGGCACATAGTAAGTCTCAGTAATATCTGCCGAGGGAATAGCCTGCTCTCCAGACTTTCCTCCCTCCACTCCCTCATCTGCAACCTTCACTCCAGCAAGGCAGAGCCAGCTGCCGCTCTGAACACATCAGGCCCTCCTAGCTTCCCTGGCCTTGCTCGAGCTGTTTCTTCTGTTCAGATGCCTCTCTACCCCTCACCACCACTACACTGCCTCTTCACTGGGCTAACCCCTTCTCATCATTCAAGACCCAGCTCAGACATCAGCTCCCCTGAGAAAAAGCCCTCTCTAACTCTCCAGACTGGCCGAGTCCCTGGCTCTGTGTTCCCACAGGCCCTGTACATCCTATTACATCAGCATCTTTTGGTGACTCTGCAGTTCTCTATTTCTTCCACAACACTCTGAGCTCCTTGAGCAGAGAAACTCACTCTTTC